GGGCCACACGGTTTTACTGTGGATTTTGTGGAATCTTATTGTTTGTTGAGCTCAAGCATTTTTTGAAATTAAAAAAAAAAACAGTGCATATTTTCCTCATAAAGCCTTTTTTACTATTTCCTATTGCTATTCTGTTTATAATCCCCCAAATTTTATCAATGTTCTTTTCTCTCATGATTATTTTGGTAGGTTTTCTCCTTTCTATTTCAAAGTAAACCACAAGGTAATGATTAATTATAATATTTTACTACCCTTAAAAAATAAAACACGATACTGGAATACATTAATAGAACACTGAAAACAAGATCCTTTACCATATCTGACGTTAGTTATTTCTCTGACGGAGTACAGTTTTTTTGGTCCTGTGGTATATGAAGGATGACAAAAGCATCTGAGAGTTCAGAGTAGAGCCACCTTGTTAATTGTAGGAGAGAAAGATGGGCCCATGAGAACAGATTAGGAAGGGAGAAGATATTGTGATGAAATACCTGTCTTTGAATATGCAAAAGATTATTTAAGGGCAATGGTACAAAGCTGAAGAAAAAGAAATTGAATTACATTGCAGTAAGCAGGAATGTGGTTAGGAATAAAAAAGAATGATTAAATATAGAAAGATGGTAGAATTTACATTACTACAAATCTTTAAAAATTGCGTAGATACTTTCTTGGTCTTAATAGTTTCATCACTGGCTTTCCGGGAACATAAGGGCTTGTTTAGGTAAAGTCTTTTCCTAAGTCTATCTATGTTATTTTCTGATATCTAAAATGAAGGGATTGGGTTTTAGGTTAAACTTTTGTACAAGGAGACCCAAAGATATGGTAAGTTAAACAAGATAAAATGTTTTCCTTTGTTACCTAATAGTTACCTAATAGTAGAGGTGGGCAGACCAGGGACTTAGGATGTGTCCCCCATCTATCTCTGGGCACAGAGAAGCTTTTCAATTATTACCGTCTTCCACGGGCTGAGGACTGGGGAGGACTCCGATAGTGTACCTCATTCCTTTTTAGGGACACAACATATCACTTCCATTCTATCTCTTTGGCCAGAAGGCAGTCGCATGCTACTCCAAGCTGCAAGGAGGCTAAGAAATACAGTCTCCACCTGGGTAGCCATGGGGCCAGCTAAAACTGGGAAATAGTATTATCAGAAAGGAGAGAATGAAAATAATAAATAAGTAGTTAAAAAACAGAGAATGAATATTGATGGGCAATTAGAATTCTCTGCTACAGCATTAAAAAGTGTTTCAATATTTGGACATAAAAGTAATATATATTAAGATAATTTAGTGAATTATATTTACAAAATATTTACATTTTGTCAGGTGGAAAGCCAAAAAAACCAATAGACAAAGCCTGCAATCCATTTAGTCTTCTCTATAGATATGCATTTTCTCAGCAACCCTCAAGATTATTACATAATGTTTCATAATATTTCATTGAGATGACTATGTCTAGAGTAGGAGAATAATTATCCTGAGATCTTTTTTCTTTGTTAGAGAAATTAGCATACATTAGGCAAGTTCTCTTGTCTGTAAAAACATCTCAAAAAGCAAATCTCTAAACTTTTTAAGTAGGTTCCACGCTGAGCTTTCAGGAGCAGTTCTTGCAATACAGATCCTCATTAGCAAGGGACCTCTTGCCTCTGCTATTGTTGCTGACTCAAGAATCAATGTTTTAGCCACGAACAAGAAAGCTGTTAGATATAGTAGCTGCCACCACCATTACTTAGCACTCACCTGTTGGTGGTGTACTAGACCTTAGAGGTTGCCGTATCTACCTGAGAAAAAACAAAACACCACCACCACAAGCTTCCAGAAGACCCACATGGCCTCCACTTCATGATGCCCATTTCTCCTGTAACATGCTATGAAGGTGCATCAGCTCGGTGAATGATATGTTTAATACGGAAACTCTAGTTGCAAGCGAGGTCTGGGGAATATAGTTTAGCCTTTTAGCTCAAGTATAAGGAAAGTCACACTAGAAGCAATTTGGAGTTCTGTGGTATTTGCCTAGATATTAGTCTAGTTTCTTGCCTTTACGTCTGCAATTACGTATGTGCATTTCTGGGAAAGAGTAACAGGCCAAAACTGTATCATGTTTTGTTTAGAATTCTTGAAGCTGAAAGTTATTATTCCCAGGAAATATGCCTCCCCAAACCACAACCTTGTTTTATACCTCTCCTGGAAGTTTCATTGTGTAAGAATCAAAATAGTCATGAATTTCAGCTTATGCTACTTCCAAAAATAATTTGGAAATAATTTAGATAGTTAAAACACTGTAACTGTTAAATGTTTCCAAATTCTTATTCCTATCCATGAACAGAATTGCTGTTTTTTTTCTAATAATGCAGAATTATTTTTGCCAAGTAATGAAGGCAGTAATAAGGGCATTGAGGTGGCATATGGATTGCAAAAGCATTCTTTTCATTAAATCATTTCAGAGAAAGGAACCTCTTGTTCCCAAAGCAACAGATGGGAACAACATTGAGTAAAAAAACAAAGAGGTAGAATACGTAATGAAAATTGAAATCACTCTTAGTCAGCTATGTTATCAACAACCACAAACTTTCAGTGACATACAGTTATTTATTTCCCACTTATCTTTGGGTCAGATGGGACAGCTCCGATGATATTGGCTGGGTGGTTCTCAACAGCAGGTTAGGTCCACATCTGCTTCACAAGGCTCTCATCTTCCTTGGACCAGCTGGCCAGCCAGGTCATACACTTCTAAAATAAGCAGCAAAGGCACAAGAGAGCAGGCAAAAACACCAGTTTCTCTTAGGGCCTAGCTTGGAACTGGCACACTCTCATTTCAACCCATATTTTATTGAGCAAAGCAAGACACATGTTCAAGTCTAAAGACAAGGGAGAGGAAAGTATTCTCTGCCTTTTGTGGAAGAAACTGCAAAGTTACTTGGCAAAGAATGTTGACAGGGAAGGGATGATAAGGAATTGGGGCCAATTCAGTCTACCACTTCCTCTAAATCAAAGTCTGATGATTATCAAAATATTTGAGGAGAATTCTTTGACACTTCAAATACCTTTGTTTTCTTATTTGTGATTAATAAATTATGATTAGGATTAGCCACTTTTTACATGCTGGGATGATGCTTAATCTCTGATGAGATATGTAAATGAGATAAATTTCCCAGACGTGAAGCTAAGAGAGGTGAGGATGAGAGCATTAGGTAGGAGCCACCCTATCCCCCACTACACATTTTGTGAGAATTGTAAAGATTTCAGTATTGTCGTATGTTTTTTAATTATATTATTACAAGGCAGTTTTAAAAAATCTTATGGAATAAACACAAAAGAAGAGGTGTTTGAGAATATTCAGTGTTCACTTGCACAATCTAGGTTTACAACAACTGTTCTTTTGGACCTATGACTAATTCTAAAAAGGCAATGACAATGGATGAGATTTATTGAGCAATTTGATGCTTCCTCTTGAAAGTCAATTATATGATTCTTTTGACTAATTTTTTAAAATAAGCATGGCGAACAAGAATATGGACTAAGATATTCAACTTAATGTTACTGGTGATTAGTGTTCTCTGTTGAAGTCAATATGAAATAATAAGCTTCAAGTTTGATTTTGAGTGAATTAAATAAGATTCTTTTCACAGTATCTCAGATGTAATATATTTTGATATACAGGGAGAAAAGGTAAGATAATAACTTTTTACAACTCAAAAATGAGTAATGGTGAATTCTCTTTTTAGAAAGCCATTCAATCTGATGTCATGCTCATAATGGAAAACAGTGGTACAAAAATAGCATTTTACAGCAGACTATAAGAAAATAGACCAAAATTATAAGTGCTGGAATTATGATTTTTTTCTCTTTCTTCACAATAATTTTAATTAAAACAACAACTAGCCTTGAGCTCTTGTTATAAAACCTGTCCTATGTGCTTTACGTGTATTACATTTCATTGAACCCACAAACAACCTGATGAGGTAGAAAATCTTATTATCCTTATTTATAGATAAGCACAAAAGTTCATATGTTTCATATATAATTTTCTATAATTCAATGTATTGCTTTAAAAAACAGAAATAAAATGATAATAACCTTTTGAAGCAAAAAAATTGTACCATCTTCAGGATTAACAATTTGCAAATAATCTGACATACTATTTGTAAAGCTTTTTCTCCAGGGGAGTTCTGTGCTATGTTGGAAAGACCGAGTTCCAGTACAATCCCTTGCCTTGAGCAAGTGCTTAATATCATTGAACCTCAGTTTCTTCATATGTAAAATGGCTCTACTGATACTTGTCCTACTTCTCAAAATTGTTGAAGTGATCAAATGAAATACGTGAAAGTCATAAAGTACCGTATAAAGTCAGGCAGTGATTTATTATGTAGTCAAATCTTAAAAATTTGTAGCTAGAATATTATAATTAAATGTTTACTAGATAACACATGGCACTTTTGTAATCAAAACATTAATAACAAAAAACATATAAAGCTAATACTTACTCAGAAAATCTAACAATGATATAAACATTTAAACAATTTATATCATTTAAACAATGATATAAATATGGCCTCAAGTTCCATTCTTACTCAGTGGCACAGAAATTGGCAGTGCCGCAGCTAAAGCCAACTCTAGATTCTGAAACACTGCTATAGAACACAAATAATGTGTAGCAAACAATATTGTTATTTCAGTGATATTTTGCATTACTATTTGTTAATGCTGGTTTCTCACAAATGTCTATAGAATTAGGATTTTTAGTGTTAATTAAATGAAGGAAAGACTTTGTTTTGCTTACTGTTATATCTCTATTGCCTAGAAAATTGTTTGACACATAAATTTGTTGAAAGAATGAATGAAATAATACACTGGCAATTAGAAAAGAGACTTTAAGAATAGCTGTAACACATAGTAGGTAAAAATGTTAACCGTAAATACTGGTTTTATATATATATATATGAAATTTCTTTGACCCACTCACGTTTGGCAGATTTTTCATTTCTCCTTATTTGCTTCACTTAGAGACGTGCTTCCCTAACACAAGAGAAAGAGATATTTGCCCATGAACATGAAGAAATGAAGAACCTAGAAGCCATTGTTCAAGAAATAAAACCAACTGCCCTCATAGGTAAACTTTGTTCCTCTTTCCTCTGTTTCCCTACCCCCCATTTTGACCTGATTGGTTTTTCTTACTACTGATTTTTGAGGCATAATTTACCTTTTTTGAAATTCTAACCCTTGGAATTCACAAATAAAACTACACATTGACTCAAGCAATAGTACCCTATAGAGACCTAGATTTGTAAGTTCAGTCCTGACTTCTTACTCTTACTGATCCAAGCTGAAGTGCCTGGCCCCCTCTGCTAACTCTGTCAGCCAACTAATACCTGGCATATTCAGCACTTTTCCAGGCTTGGTTACTCCAGATAGACAGTAGTTCTCAAATGGAAGAGATTTGCTCCCCAGGGAACATTTGGCAATGACTGGAGACATTTTTAGCTGTCTTCACTGGGAAGGAAAAGTTGGGGAGGATAGAGAGACTACTGACATCCAGCAGGTAGAGGCCAGGGATGCTGCTAAATATCCTGTAATGTACAGGACAGCCCCTGCATCGAGGAATTATCCAGCCCAGAATGTCAGTGGTGCTGAGGTGAGAAACACTGAACTAGCTTAGAACCTCCTAGAAGACAGGGATCACATCTCACATATCTTTATATCATTTATAGCATGCATTATAGTACTTACACATTGCATGTGCACAGTAGGATATGTAATATGGTCACATTTAAAGCAGTTTAAAAAAAAACTCAAAGGAATTTATGAAACTATACTTTGTTCATATATAATGTCTATCTTTACTATGTATCATACTCCATTCCTGGAAGCTCTTGTGAAACAAAAGACAATATTGATAATAATGATGATAATCATAATGAAAACAACTACTAAGTCCATGTTAGGGACTTTACTAAACTTGTAGTATCATTTTTACAAAATACGTCCTATCAGTAATCTTGCCGTTTTTCATTTCCTTTATGCTAATTGCTTTATTCTTCTGTTAAAATTCTTGCAGTGAGTGACACTTCAATTTTGCAATTGAATCAGATGATTGTTTTAAGTGTTAGCACTGGTTTTTTAAAACATGGCTGGGTATGGTGACACATGCCTGTAATCCCAGCACTTTGGGAGGCTGAGGCAGGAGGATCATTTGAGGCCAGGAGTTTGAGGCCAGCCTGGGCAACATAGCAAGACCCCATCTCTACAAAAAATAAGAAAAAAATGACCCAGGCATGGTAGCATACACTTGTAGTCTCAGCTACTTGGGGGCTGAAGCAGGAGGATTGCTTAAGCCCAGAAGTTTGAGGCTGCAGTGAGGTATAATTGTGCCACTGCAATCCAACCTGGATGACAAAGCAAGACCCTGTCTCTTAAAAAAAAAATAAATCCCAAGAAACCGAAAAAATCCATAATTACATAATTGCTTTATAGCCTGACAGACTGAAATATACTCATAGAATTGCTTATAGAGAGCATATATATATTGGACACATTTTAATTTCCTGTTACAAATGCCTATAACCAGAATTCCAAGTGATTGGCTACTAACTCTCAGTATATTATGAATCAGATGTTATCTTTAAATTTTTTTTATAGATACTTGTAGATTTGTAACCCTAAAAATTATTGGCGTTAACAAACTTATTTCTTTTTGTCACTATATTTTAATTACAAATATTCCACACAGTATTTTTAGAGGGTCTATTAGAAAATTACCTGACATATATCATCATTTTGAAGGATGGCCTTCTTAGATGAATTAACCAATGGTAACTCTAATCACCAGTTTCTGATTTCTTCATTAGGTGTTGCTGCAATTGGTGGTGCATTCTCAGAACAAATTCTCAAAGATATGGCTGCCTTCAACAAACGGCCTATTATTTTTGCTTTGAGTAATCCAACTAGCAAAGCAGAATGTTCTGCAGAGCAGTGCTATAAAATAACTAAGGTAAAGCAAAAGCGTAACTAATATTTTAATAATCAAATTTTGATTTATTATAGGGAGGCCCAGGATTTCTAAGTTTCTTATCATTTAACCTTTACAAATTATACAACCAGGACTGTAAGAAAAGTGTATAGGTCAGAGAGACAAGAACTATTTCCTTTTTTAGATTGTTGTATAAATCTTCTTCAATAAAATAAAATAAACTTTGTAATGTTTTAGTGATCATTTTCCTCAGGTGATTTGGAAGTATTTTAGATTCGAACATAAAAGTTAAATAGAAAGGAAAAAGCTCGGTTCTAGATGCTTATTGAAATGGATTTTAACTAGCTATTCCCGAACATTGAAGCATACAGTATAAAACCACAGCCTTATTTTCACTTTGCTAAATCCTGGGTTTGGATTTTGATGCCATGGGTGGAGTATTTGGGCAGCTATCTTGACATCCAGCCAAGTTGGGATAGGAGTCCTCAATGCTTCAATACTTACTGTTTCAAAAATCGTAATTTATTTTATAGTATTCTTATACTAATATATATTTGACTGATATGTTAGCAAGAGCGTTTTTTCCCTTCAAAGACTTGGAAATATCATTACAACAAAATAGAGGTTGAGTCACATCTATCTAAAGCTTTTATTTTGAAAATAAATCCAAAATGAACTAGAGAAGGTAAACCCAACACAAAGTTATATCACTCTGCACAATTTGAACTTGATGGCTCTACTTTAATAGTATGTCCTTAAATGCTCATTATTAGAATTAATGCTTTTTTGGCAGGGAGCCACTCCATTGTTTCTCTCTCTTATTTGGGGATACCTTCAATATCCTCACTAATTTTAATTTTTATCTCATCTCTAGGTTAAGGAATGTGCCTCACATTATTCAGTGGTCCTTGAATCCTTAAAAGGAAAATAAAAAGCCCTTTGAGCAGAAATTTGACATGATACCGTGTACATAGTAGGCACATAATAAACAAGTGTTTAATTAATTATTTTGTCTTAGTATATCTCAGTAGGCCTCAAGAGTTTAGAGACTCATCTGCAGCAAACATAAGGAAAATTAGCCAAACTTATGAAGTTGTTTCAGAATTTGAATGTGTCTGGTATAAATGGCGTCAACTTTTTCTTATGATCTTGCCTAGTGTCCTATGTTGTTTTACATAAAACATTGAAAGTCATTTTGAAGCTGAAAATTTAAACACTAGTTTGGCCAAACGATTACAGCACAAGGAAAGGTCTCCCTATTGCTGAATGTGCTTTGCTGCTGCTGCAGGCATAGGTGAAAGATAGTTAGGAAAGGTTAAAATACAATATACAAAAAGATTATTGAACCTTGGAAATACAATCCAAAGATGGTATGGGAAGATTTTCTTATCCATATTAAACAATTCATATATATGAGAATGTTTAGTTAACTATACTGCTATCATTTATTTAATGCCATTCCTCCTCGAAATATGGTGATTATAGAAATATAGGAAAGAAGGGAGATATATAATGTTGCAGGCTTCTTTCTCAAATATAATTTTCAAAAACCTATATATATGAAATAATAATTTAGTTACATTAGAAGGTTGTTTGTAATGACATGTTTTGTCTGCTAAACAGAGCTTAAGGTATCAGACTTGTCTGAAAATAAAACTTAATTCTGTGCAAAACATGTGTCTTATAAACACCTATATGAGAATTTGTTTTCTCTCTCATCTATTTTCATCTTTTTATATCCTGGAGAAGGTTGAATTTTATATCATACAGCTTTTAAAAGAACCAAAAGGTGTATTAATGACATTTGCTAAAAATGAATATTAAGTTAATATTATTTATATCATGACCTAGACTGAAGTATGAAATACGAGGTAATGAGATAAGAGGTCTGACAGTTTCACACATTCTGTCATCATTTAAACTATGCTCTGGGGATTTGTTGTTTTAGGCTTTTCAAATAGATTTCTTAGATTACGATGCTTATTTGTTGAGTGTTTCCTACTTCTACCTGGAAGCCTGAATACTCTCAACTGTATCTCCACTCTCACCCTCACAGATCAGACAAATTCTCTTCTTTTGATTAGCAGCATGGAAGGTAGCACCCAGTGGGCCCTAAGTTAATGCCTTCTTGAAGCATGTGATATTAATACATGAGATTTCTCAAAACAATTATGACAAAACATTAATAATAGGAAAAATGAAGACAATTATTGACTGCTTAATCTTCCTCCAATCTGCTAATTCCACTTGTGCTAATGAATTTGTTTCATATGTGATTTTCCATAAAACTCTTTATAGTATTTCTATATATAAAATCTGTTCCAGTTTTTATTTTGTATTATATATGTGTTGATCCCTAAACCCCGACCTAAAGTGTCATTATTTCCAATACTTTTAATGTTAACTTGTCATTTTTATCTTCAGAAGTCTATAATTGGGAGCCTACATAGAAATGGTTGATGAGCCCATGGGTTGGACCAATGCAGAGCATAGCATGATGGTCTTAGCATGTCCTGTACTTGGTACACTTCTCCTGGGAGTGAAGAGTAAGATAAAGAGCAGTAATAAGCACCCATTCCAGTACTCGTTGCCCAGCATCACAAAAGCTTGCCCAGACTTACTAGGAAGTTAATGAAAAGTTAGGCTTCTTGCTAAGTATTCATTATTTAGCCTATGGGGTAGTTCTGTTACAATATATTTGTTTTAAAATATTCTGCTTCTTTTTAAAATTAGTTGTATGTGTCTGTGTTTTAGGGACGTGGAGTTTTTGCCAGTGGCAGTCCTTTTGATCCGGTCACTCTTCCAGATGGACGGACCCTATATCCTGGCCAAGGCAATAATTCCTACGTGTTCCCTGGAGTTGCTCTCGGTGTTGTGGCATGTGGATTGAGGCGCATCACAGATAAGATTTTTCTCACCACTGCTGAGGTATTGTAAAATCCTCTGAGTTTGCCAAGGCTATAAAATACCAAGTGTGCTCAGCCTATGTTGTCTAATGTTTTATCTAGCATCTCAGCTCCCTGTCTAGACAAAGTAAAGTTTGAAAAAGAGAAAATCTTTCCCAATGGAGAATAAGGTGTTGGTAGAACGTTTATATTGCATCATTAGTAAAAGGTTCTGTGTTTTGATTTCTTAAAAGGAACCCTTTTTTATCCTTATACTTCTGATCAAGTGTGACAGTAATGAGATAATTAAAAATATTGTTTCCAAATGATGATTAAGTGGTGAATATTTTCTCATTTAGAACCTTCCTAAATAATGGCATTTCGAAGGTTTAAAAGTAAAGTCTGATATGGTGGAGTGGAAATGTTTATCATTCAGCATTCAGTGCAGAAAACAGAAATCACTCTACTATTTAAGCAGAAATTAAAATAGGGAATTAGGTGTTTATAAAATCTTTAAAAGGACAGCAGAAATGGGCTCTAGTCTGGGGCTTCATGGAAGATTTTCAGAACATCACAGAGCAGGCCCACTGGGGAATCTCATACTGTCATGAACCGTGAAAGATCTGAGATTTTACCCTACTTTCTTTTTTTCCCCCAATTTATTTATTTTCTTTTTAATTTCAGAATATTATGGGGGTACAAACATTTTGGTTACATACAATGCTTTTGTTTTGCCCAAGCGAGAGCTACAAGTGTGCCCTTCCCCCATACAATGTGCTCCACACCCTTTAGTTGTGAAGTTACCCATCCCCAACACCCCCGTCCCACCCGCCCCACACCCGATGACTATTACTTCATACCCTACTTTCAGGCTAACAAGTTAGCCACAATTTCATAGATACTGGCAGAAGACATGAAACTCCTAGGTCAGAGACAAAGGGCTCTATTACTCATGGCACAAGAGATACCATGAGCATCATGTTCATCAGTTCTCCTTCCCCTCTCTCCTACCCTCAACAGGATAACATGGTGATCGGGCATATATTTGTAAAATCATGAGCTTTTGATAAGCAGTGTGTTCATCTGGTTTATGTCATGTTTTCAGATTTTAACAGGATGCAATTTGTGAATGAAAAACTTGCATGAATTTCTTCTCTTAAAATTAAACCACTGTACAACATTACAGCTGAACTGAACCGAATAGAACTTGACTCATATTGAAATATTTTTATCCTGAAAACATGCTATTTTTTCCATTATGAAGAAGAATCCTAAGAGTATAGACAAAGATTCTTAGGTTATTGATGTGGTCTAAAAGAGCATAATCCCAGGGGTTAGCTCCTGGCCTCATTCTGTGAGAACAGATGCCCGGAAGCTACAGTATTCTGCTTCTGTCCTTTTCACTGCATTAGCAATATGATAACTGACATCTCAGGTTTTCTTTGACTCAAAAAATTTGTGAAACATAAGTGGATGTCTAATTACCAAGAGAACATTTTACAGTTGTTTTTGCATTAAGGAAAATGTAAGCCTTGTTTTTTAGAATAGGCATATTATCAGAATATATATACTCATGATAGCCAGTGAGGTGGTTTTTTTTTTCTAAGTAACTCTAGCACCCTCTAGTGACAAATTTCATTACAAATATTTTCCATTTACTATCCAAGAAAAGTAATAATCGCTACCAAAAAACTGAAGAAAATGAAATGTGGTGGTGTCAGCCCTGTATTCTTTTCATAACCAGTGATCTCTCTTGCTACATGTTTTCGTCTTTCTACTGTTTTTCTCTTAGGCTTCAACACAACATTCCTGTTTTTATACCATCTCAGTGATGGCCCACTCGTTGTTTTCTTTGTGTCCTTTTCACCTCCCTTCTAACTAAGAGCTTTTATTCTAGCATTCATTTTTGCCCCACTTTTTTCTTCTCTTTTCCTTATGCTTTCAAAGATCTAGTCCATTCTTTCATTTCTACTATCTTCACTCTTAATAGTGGCCAAACCTGTGTATCTCTGTTCTCATCTTTTACCAAATCTCCAGTTTCCTGCTGGACGATTCCCCAGAAATCCCCTGCTGTGTCCTTAAACACAACACGCTTAAAACCATACTTAATCATCTTTTCTCACTCTCGACATTCATGTTTCTGTTAGTGACGCCCGTTTCCAGACAAGCACCACAGCTTAGAAGCCTGACATTCTTTTCATTCTCCCTCATTCCACAGCCTTCAAACACACCATTCATATGTGCACTTGTGTAACTGCTTTATCTCTTATCCTGCCTGGAAAGCCTGAGAATTGTTCTCCACCTGTGTAAGCCTGTCCTCAGTCCTGTCCTGTGCTGCTGAAGTCCCACTTCATCCTTGACTCTTTGTGACAAGTCTGGCTGGCTCATCTTGATCTTTCTCCTTAGTCATGGCTGTCTTTGTTAAAGACCTCAATATTTACTTTTTTTTCTATTTGTAGTTTGCTCTTGAGAGCTTCATATTTTAAAAGTGTTGCTTCTGTAATTAAATTGTATATAATTTTCTTTAAAGACAGAGAGTCTTCCATATACTTCTTTCAAAACTCCAGTAGCACCCAGCTAAGCACAAAGCAGAAACTTAGTAAATACTTGTGGAGTTGAATTAAATAGAACTAGTCATATATCTTTGCAAGAAGAGTAAATATAACACCACAGATATTCACTGCCAGAGGGCCCCAAAAAGAAGAAAGTCCTTCTTGTCTAGACAATATTTTATAGTTAACAAAAGGAACATGTCAGAGATCTAGGTGAATTTTTTTAGCTGGCAACCCCAGATTTAACCATTAAGATTATTGTCAGGGCCGGGCGCGGTGGCTCACGCCTGTAATCCTAGCACTCTGGGAGGCCGAGGCAGGCGAATCCCTCAAGGTCAGGAGTTGGAGACCAGCCTGAGCAAGAGCGAGACCCCGTCTCTACTAAAAATAGAAAGAAATTATTTGGACAACTAAAAATCTATATAGAAAAAATTAGCCGGGCATGGTGGCTCATGTCTGTAGTCCCAGCTACTCGGGAGCCTGAGGCAGTAGGATTGCTCGAGCCCAGGAGTTTGAGGTTGCTGTGAGCTAGGCTGACGCCACGGCACTCTACTCCAGCAACAGAGTGAGACTCTGTCTCAAAAAAAAAAAAAAAAAGATTATTGTCAAAAATACTAGTTAGATCTCTTATGGAACTAGAAATCTCATGGCTTGGCACCAATCCCAAAGAATATTTCTGGATTGTTTTTTATCATGAAGAGAATTTTGACTCTCCTGGCACGGTGGACAGTCTTTTGGACCTCTGATGAGAGTGCATAGTGCTTCCTGGGTCAGTCCTCCTGGCCCTGCGTGGTCTGCGGTGCATCCTGACAGCACACTCCCCATGTCCTATTCACACCTGAAAGACAAACCTTGGCAGCCTGTCCTCACCCCACTCTTCCTGAATCACGTGCTGGTATCCTCTCTTCTACCCTGCTCCACCTATTTCTGCTATCTGCCCGAGGACACTTGAGATAATCACCTTGGACAACAGCATCTAGAAGAAGCTTTGATTCACACAAGTCACTGGATAACTGAAAATCCAGCTGCCATAACATTGTCAGAATGAAAGGAAGAGAGATTATTTGAAATCAGCCACAATGTCATTAGAGACAGACACCCAAAGCACATCAAAGGCAGCAAATAGTTTTTGAATGTGATTCAATAGATGAGAGTGAGATTAGGACTCTTGTATACTCTCTCCTTTTCCACACCCAGAATCAATTCCTTGCATTTTAGTGGGGCTCCCCATGGCCACCTGTTTGCTGCTTGACTCTTTGTTCCACAATTTCTTTGTGTGACAGGCACACATGGAGAGCAAGGATTCAGAATGATTCTTCTTTACTCAGCCATTTTCTGACTGTCGCCAATCCTTTTAAAATGATATATGTGGCCTGGAGTGGTGGCTCATGAATGTAATCCTAGCATTTTGGGAGACTGAGATGGGAGGATCACTTGATCCTAGAAGTTTGAGGAGTCGAGGACAGCATAGCAAGAAGCCTGTCTTTACAAAAAATAAAAAAATTAACTGGATGTGGTGGTGCACACCTGTACTCCCAGCTACTTGGGAGACTGAGGTGGGTGGATCACTTGAGCCCAGGAGTTGGAAGCTGTAGTGAGCTATGATCGTGCCACCGCACTCCAGTCTGGGTGGCAAAGCAAGACCCTATCTCTAAAAAAAAATGTTTAAATAAACAAAAAAATAAAATGACATTTGTGTAGAGTTCTAGAGAAGAAACAATGATGTTGAATGCTATGTGCCAGTGGAAAAAAAATTGAAAAAATTTGAAATTGATTGGTTATAGAACTTGCCTCCAAATCAAATATCCAATAAACTAATACATTGTAGAGGTACATCTCACTCCAAAAGCTATTTTGCTTCTACTTTGCCATGCTGGCTGCCTATTTGTTCTTTTTAAAATAAATAGCTAAGACTCATTGAACATTTATTTGACAGACACTGGGGTAAATTCTTCGCTAGCATTTATTTCTTTTAATCCTATGAATTAGGAATTATTATTAGTTCTATATTACTGATGGGAAAACTAAGGCTTATAAAGTTTAATTAATGTGACCAAATTCAAACAGATAGTAACAGATAGTATTCAAACACAGGTCCACCTCACACCAGAGCCTGAGTCTTCAACCAGCATGCTGCTACATCTTTTCAACATTGTGCTACTCATTTTTTCTCTATCCAGTTAAATAACAATGCTAGATACCCATAGAAGGTTTTGGTTTAACATCTAAGAAATTCCAACTGATTTAAACCTGCCAGAAATCTTTTGCAGAAGAACAATAAGTAACAAGATTTTTTAAAAAGTAGTCTCAGTTCAACGGGGAAATAACATAAAATGGTTTTATTTTTGTTCCAATCATTGTTTTAAATAATTCTCTGCCAGATTTCCCTTTTCTTTCTCTTAGTGGCATTCCAGTAAAATCCCACAACTCTCAGTTCACTCCTTTTAACAAGTGTTAATTAAGTACCCTCTATATGTTAGGCATTATTCTGAGTGCTGAGGTTATGTCAATGAACAATAATTAAACATCTGCTCAGTTCAAAATTTTATATCTAATTCAAATAGCATGTCCTCTCCCTGCAGTATGAGAGGCCTACAGTAGCAGGTAGGGAAGACCTATCTTCTCTTTTACTCTTCTTCTGACACTAGCACTTTGAGGAATTTGGGGAAAAGTGTGTGGTGAGACTCTGAAAAACCTCCTGCCCTGTTAAGGCCTACTTCTCAAATGTGTTGGAGATAGGAAGGGTATGGAAAAGGGCAAACATCCCTTTTATTAACTCTCCACTATTTTAGGTCATCAGGCCTCTGTGGCAGGGTCCAAATCTGGCTTCTCTTATGGGACACATATGTGAGAGTTCAGAGGACCCTGATGTGGGAGGTCGATAATAAACAATTCAACACTGCTTGATTTAGAAGTAGGGAATAGTTTGGTGACAGCAGATACAGAGACTCATTAGGTGATTCAGATAATCCAGGGTCTGTGTAAAATTAAAATCCTCCATATAACGTGACTCTGAAATGGCTTTCTCAGCCTCCTGCGCTACCGCCTGCACAGGTCAGCTGGGGTAAAGCGTGAGCAGCCTGGGATAACTGCCCTCCTGTGCTCCCAGGGTCCTTTTCCGTTACTTCTATCATCCTCCTCTTCCTTTCTTTTCTCCTGTTCCCCTAATGCGTCAGTTGGAAAGTATCCAGCATTTCACAGTACAGTAGAAAACGAAGTGGACCAAGAGGACACCTAGATTCTCTTCCCATATTTTTCACCAATTGTGCGATGATCCCAACACTCACCATACCTCCCTAGGCTCAGTTTTCTCCTTGATAGAGAGGGAGATGAAATTAGACGATCACATTAATGGGATTGGTTTCTACACATGACCATTATATGTGACCATTCACTTGGTTATCTGTATAAGCACCACATTGTATGGTGTGAAGTATAAACATTTTTTTCCTTTTTTATTTTTTTTTTAAGGTTATAGCTCAGCAAGTGTCAGATAAACACTTGGAAGAGGGCCGGCTTTATCCTCCTTTGAACACCATTAGGGATGTTTCTCTGAAAATTGCAGAAAAGGTAAAACCACTGTTGTTCAAGCTTCATTATTTTTCCCTCCTTCTCTTGCTAAATATGCATTTGTTAAATGTTAAAAATCTACTTTCTTGGAATGTATATTTGTATGTGTATATCAACATACTGTGTCCGAAGTCAGGGAAATGAGGCACAGTGACTCCATAGAGCTCAGGAGCTACATTTGATCCCTACAGAGGAATGGAAGAATTGGGCTGAATCATTCATTTCCCAATAATTCTTTTTAAATAATTCATTAGGATTTCCTTTCAGCCAGTTTCCTCCCATTTTGCCTTTTTAAGTTATTCTTTTCCATATTGCACTTGTGATAACTGCCAAAATATTGCAGATACAGTAGTGACATTTAGACCTTGAACCACCTTTCTTACCTGTGTCTCTGTGATGAATGCATCTTAAATGACTAAGATCACAGTTGATACTGCTGGGCAGAAGGCAAAACAATGAGGGCAAAGAACTAAACGCTGTTGGGTGGCTTGTGAGGAGTTAGCCAGGAAGAGCCTAAAGGCAGGGAAATTTTCTGTAACTGGACTGAGAGAGAAATTGACTTTTGTGCAGTGTCATTGTATTAGTTTGCTTGGGCTGGCATAACTAAATACCACAGACTGGGTGGCTTAAACAACAGAAATTTATTTTCGAACAGTTCTGGAGGCTGGAAGCCCAAGATCAAGATGTCAGCAGGTTGGGTGTGCTGAGGCCCGAGGCCTCTGTCCCTGGCTGCAGATGGCTGCCTTCTTGCTGTGTCCGCACGTGGTCTTTCTGTGTGTGGACATCCTTACGTGTCCACATTTCCCCTTCTTATAAGGACACCAGGCAGATTAGCTTAGGGCCTACCTTAATGGCCTCAATTTAACTTAATTATCTCTTTAAAGGCCCTGTCTCCATATACAGTCACATTCTGAGGTACTAGAGGTTAAGGCTTCAACACATGAATTTGGGGGTAACACAATTCAGCCCATAAAAATGGTTATCTGTTTAAACTGGGGTTTCTCTACCTCAGCACATTGGGCATTTTGGCTAGATAACTTGTGAGGGCTGTCCTGGAGATTGTACAGTGTTTAGCAGCTTTCCTGGCCTCTGCCCACTAGATGTCAGTAGTATCTGCACAGTTGTGACAACCAAAAATGTTCCCAGACATTGCCAGGTGTCTCCTTGGGGGCCACATTGCTCCTGGTTGAAAACCACTGGTTTAAGCTATTAGCAAGTTTACCTAAACAATATTATTTAAGATTCATATATCATCATTTGTCTTGTTGATTGAATGTATATTCTTCAAAAAATAAGTAATCCTTCAAAAACTTAAAATAATAATCTGCTTGGTTATCTATTTATGAAAGAGTATGCTCATATTTTCTCCTCATATGTATCTACTAGCTTGTGACTAGTTTGAGCTATTAATATACTGAACAGCATAATATCATTTTAAGTTCATTTTGAAGATTTAAATGAAAAGGAGTTAGCATATGATTAGAGGAAAAATTAAGAAATCAGGAGACATCAGAAGGATTGCAGAAAGATTCAGATATTACATCTATAATAATGCCAGAATACTGAATGCAGAGACAAAAGTTGGGAAATTAAAACAAAGAACCAACTTCAGGGAGGAAAATGACATAAATAGACTGCAAATTTGAGGTATCAATCGCATATCAAATGTACAGATACAACAAGTAGATGGAAATGACTGAAACTTAAAGAGGGGCTGGGCATAAAGACCTGGGAGTCATTTGCAGATCTGTGGTAACAGCAAAGCTCTAGGAGTGGTTGGGGTTGCCAAGAGAGCAAGTATGGCAAGGAAAGAAAACTGAGGATAGAATATAATTTATTATTCTGTCTGGAAGAGAGAGAAAAAGAAGCCAGTTACGAAGAGAAGTGGTCAGGATTTTAAGAAGAGACTCAGAGATGAGCAGCATGTCAGGAATTAGAGAAGAGACGATTTCAGGCTGGGAGTGGAAGTTGTGATTAACGAAACCAAATCCTGGAGAGAAAAACAGATGAAGACTTTTATTTAGTACTTAGAAAGTTATCAGATTACAAAAGCATTTTCAAGAGGTACAAGAGGTTAAGAAATCAGGGAGAATTAGGAAAGCAATAAAATATAAGCCACTCTTCCAGGGAGGTTTGCATTGATAAGGCAAGAATAAATATTTCAAAGATCATTACTGTAATATGCCTGGGAGCAGAAAGAGGAGATGAATTTCCACATAGTCTGTGTCAGTAGTGAAACGATGTGTTTTCTTATAAAGTTAATGTAGCCATTGCCAACAGGCACAATAGATCTTTTTGGGGTGATGGAAATGTTCCAAAACTGAATGTGGTAATGGTTGCACAACTCAATAAATTTACAAGAATAGTGTAATTGTACACTTAAAATGGTTGAATTTTGTGTGAATTATACCTCAATAAAGCTGTTTAAAACGTAATAAAACCACATTAAAGGCACTTAGGAAAAGAGAGAAAAAGAAAATAATAAACATTATACTTTTCTAATATAAGCATTATTATTATTTTTGTATTGAATTTTTTTGTTTGCTTTATTTTCTAACATTATTATAGTGTAATTATAGCGTACACATACTTTTCCTTGCTCATTGACATTTCTTCATAATACACAGCATTTTGTACAGCATTTATAACCATAAATATTCATAAATGCGTAATTTTCCATTGAGAAGAGATACTTAATCACTCTAATAGTCTTCAAAATCAGATTTACCCAAATCAGTCAGTCATACAAATAGTTGCTCAGTGATTGTTTTATAGAACTGGTGTAAAAGAACTAGCACATATGGAGTGATTGACCTTGATAAGAAGAATCCATTTTTTTCAAAGAAAGTAGGGGAAGAGAGCATGTACGAGGATACGAAGGAGACAGTTTGAGTTGGTGGGAAGGAAAATTAAGATCATTTTCTCTGAGCAGTTGGAATTTTCTCAGTAATGAGAATCAAATGGGGACTTTAAGATGAAGACAGGGAAGGTTTGGAATTGCCTTTTGGGAGCTATGAGAGAAAGTTTTTAAAAAAGGGATAAAAGTTTAATGTGCAGGTTAGGAAAAGAAGGACACCACAGAAAACTCACACATGGTTCTAGGATGGACAGCCATGGAGGGAGAAAGCCAGCACTGAGGGATCCCCAGAGAAGGGACTCTAATTGTGCTGGTAACACAGACGTGGAGGTGAGCTCTTCTGTGACGCTGGCAAGGAGCACTCACCCTGGCTGCTGAGTGCAGCTGGTTAGGGGAGCAGGGTCTAGAGACCCGGGATAAAGGAAGAGATTTTGTAGGAGGCTGTGGTCAGAATAGGGATTCTTGAAAATTCAAGGTTCAAGCTTAGCAGGACTGTTCTTAGTTCAAGTTAATTATCAGTCAGGTCATGTCAACACTGTCGTCTCTGAGAAATCCTGGTGTGAACATACATGAATAAACCTCCACTAGTCACGCTTTCCTTAGCTGCTGGTATCATTTCCCCCCCCTCTCTTTTTTTATATGGTTTATAATTGCATTTTCATTTTATATCTTTATTGGTTTTGTGTGCTTTTATTATAATATTTTTTTTCTGGAAATAAACAAGATATATATTATTTTTTTTTGAAATGAATAAAACTTCTACTGACATGGGTTCATCCTCACCTGTATTCATTAAAATAATATTCTTTTTTTATATCTAGATTGTCAAAGATGCATACCAAGAAAAGACAGCCACGGTTTATCCTGAGCCACAAAACAAAGAAGCATTTGTGCGCTCTCAGATGTACAGTGCTGATTATGACCAGATTCTACCTGATTGTTATTCTTGGCCTGAAGAGGCCCAGAAAATACAGACCAAACTTGACCAGTAGGATAATAGCCAACATTTCTAACTCTATCAGTGAGATCTTGAAATCTTTCATAATTTTTAAAGGTTGGAATCTTTTATAATGGTTCATAATATGCTTAGATTAAGATAATTTTACTTTAACAATCTAAAAATGTGTGAAGAATATTGATACAAATTAGGATAAACATCACACTAGACAATTTTACTTCATTTGCCTTCTGGTTATTTATGGTTTCTATTTTAATTATTCTACCGAAGTTTTCTTTAAAAGCTATTGTACCTACTACTGAGAAACTCATCATTTTTATAGAGGAAACTAATGGGAAGACCAAAATTAGTAATAAATTGATATTATCACATTAAATCCATAATTCTTTTGTTGACCATTTTATTAAAATCTACTTTTTTTTTTTAATAAAGATAGAAATGAACTTAGACATCGATGAACTTTTGCTAAATAGAAACAACACTACTTTGTTGCCTAGAGAAAGATGACTTCTCAGGTACTTTTATTCTAATCCTATATTATATTTGTGCAACTGAATTCTAACATTTCTAAGAAAGATCACTGCTGTTTACAATGCCTTGTGCAGCCTTAGATTTTAATATTCTTTTGTCATTGTTACATCTTACGGAGTGAAGCTCTCATCACCGTGGTCCTTAGAGATCCCTCCTATAAGCGCCTTTATTTCCCCTTAACCAAATGTCCTATCCTTCAGGTACCATACTGTTGCTACAGGGCTTTTATGGGCTGTGGCCCCTGTCCAGAGGTTGGTACCTTCATGTCAGCATAGCCTGAGCAGTGAGAAGGGCTGCTAGGAGAGTGTGTAGTTCAGTCCCTTGAGAAAGGGCTGCTTGAGGAGCCCTGCCTCTTAACACCCCAAGGATCTCAGGAGTTAGGAGCAAGACCGTGGTTCCCAGACAAGCTAGGTTCCTATTTGAGTAACCTGCCTTAATGGACCCTTGATGAGCTTAGGTAACTGAGAGCTCACTGTGTTACAACAGACTTACTTTCTTCTGAGTTTGGAGAAAGTTTTGTAACCATGTGCCCAATATTAGAAATTATCTTTACATCATATATTAAAATATTTTAATTACCAAGACCATTCTATGAAAAAAGTAGTTACATCCCCAGATTGTATTGATTTACTTTAGAAATTAATGATTGAACTAATGGAAACAACTTTAAATTCTTAAGCTCAGGTGCAATAACATTGGCTATTTATTTGTAAAATTAGAGAATTTTGTTTTTGAAGTAATGCTTTAAAGAGTATAAGAAGATGTTCAAGATAACTATACTATAAAATGATTTTATTTAAAGTTGAAGGTTACACAGATTGTTTTTGGTCTTGAGTAGAAGGGGTTTGGGTATTTCTGAAGGTAACATTTAGTCAAGAGTTTTCTCAATGTGGTTATTTGGAAAAGCTTCAGAATGACTATCCATTTCTTGTCGATTGCCATGTTGTCTTATAGCTCTAACTAAATGTATTTACCTATGCAAAAGATTTATTAAAGCATAGAAAAAGTGAATGAACGAAATTATGAAATAATTGTCTTTCTTTCTTAAAATATGGATTCATTGTAATGCTGGGTCTTGGGGGTCATATATCAAAGTATTATGAATTTGTAAACTATTCTAATAACTTCTAATTTCACCATGAACTTCATTCACCCAAATGTAATCATATACACTGGATACTATGATGTGAGAGCTACTTTCCTTGTCCTTAGGGAAAGATAATGAAACAAGCATTAGATAGTTACTTACCAGGTGTCAAGTATTGTACATATATTACTTTAAGTTAATGCAAACCCCACAATTTCCTTACAAAGTTGGTATTTTAAGGAACTTGCCAAATCCACAGAGCTCGTAAATGAAGAAGATAGGCTTTAAATCCATGTTTATCTTTCTTTATGGTCTGTTCTCCTTTCACTAGGCCTCAGCCCAGAATAGCACTGTCCTGTGTGTGATTTTAAATTTTCTAATAGCTTCATAAAAAAACAAACAGGTGGGATTCATGTTAATAATACATCCAAAACATTATTTCAACATGTAATCAATATAAAATTATGAATGAGATATTTTACATTATTTTGTTCATACTAAGTCTTCAAAATCCAGTGCATAGTTTATACTTACATTTCAATTCAGTTCAGACTACCCACAAGTGCTCGATGGCCACATCTGGCTAAGTGACCTCCATGTGGGGCAGCGCAAGTCTAGAAGAGACAGTTATATACCAATAGCTGTAATACCATATTTCCATGAAAGAAGTGAAGTCTAAGAATATGGGAAATGTTTATTCGAAAATGCCTTGGTAAATAATGCCTCAATGAAGTACATTAAGAAAAATAAATTGTGCTAGCCATGCAACTGAGGAAGGGAGCAAAGCCCAGAACAAGAAAATGTATTATTTTATAATTTTTATAGCATTCCCACTTTGCTGTTAACAGAGGAAATATAAAATGCTACTGGGGCACACAGAAGGAATAAATTGTATAGAAAGAGGGAGAGGTCAGGGAAGGGAAGATATTTAAAGCAGTAACCTGAAGGGTAAAGAATAAGTAGGAACTAGCCAGGTGGGGGTGTGTGTTGAGGGTGGGGGTAGTATTGGGAGAGAGAAGTGTTTCAGGCAAAGGATGAAAGTATGTGCAAATATCCCAAAGCAAGAAAGAGCAAAACATATGAGGAACTGAAAACAAGAAAATTATAGACCTATTTCATTTATAAACATAGATGTAAAAATCTTAAAGTATCAGCTAACCAAATCCAATAATGTATTTAAAAATATATATCACGATTAAGTAGAGCTTATCTTGGAATGCAGGGACTTCACTCTCAGCAAATCTATCATTATAAGTCATATTAATAGAATAAAGGAAGAAAATCATATGTTCTTCTCTGTAGATACAGGGAAAGTATTTGACTTTAACATTTATCATTTTTGTAAAACTCTTAGCAAACTAGGAATAGAAAATTTCCTTACCGTGGTTATTATACTGTAGAGAAATGTTTGATTCATTCCCTTAAAGATCAGGAACAAAATAAGGCATCCTACTCTTACTGTTTAAGGTAAACTAACTGGAAGTCATAGACAAACCTATGGGGAAGAAGAAGAAATAAGAGGTGTAAGAACTGGCAGGGAAGAGATAATACTGCCAGTTTTGCAGATAACATCAGCATACACAACCAGCAGTATTACCATTAGAGCTAATAAGAGAATGCAAGTTTGCCGTATAGAAATTATCTTCAAAAATCAGTAGCATTTCTTTATACCTGTAATAATCAACTAGAAATTATAGGCAAAAGAAATTATAATAACGATACAAATAAAATGAAAATCCTCTATGAAGAAAAAAATGTTAATTATATTAAAAGATAAAAAAGATATGAATAAACTATGCTCTTGATTAGAATGTCTTAATATTATAAAGTTGTTATTTCTCCCGAGAAATAATTCATAAATACAATGCAGTCTTACATAGGCCAGGCTAGGCTAACTGCTACTACAACCCTAAAACGTCAAGGCTCATACAATGAAAGCATAATGCTTGCTAGTATCATTATCTAATGCATTCAGTTGGGAACGTGGGTCCTTCCATTTTGTGATGCTGCCATCTTTATCATGTAGCCTCCAAAGTCACCAAAAAGACAAAAAAAAAATAGAGGATTATGGAGCGGGGTTTGTGGACAAGTCATTTATACCTACATTCCACTGGCTAAGACACAGTTACGCAGCTCCAAAGGTACAGCAAGAGAAACTGAGATACATTGTCTTTCTGTGATCCCAGGACTATAAAATGAAACAGATTTGGTGAACAGAACATTATGTCTACCACGAATCCAATTTGTGATTGAAGTTTCTAAGGCAGTGAATACATTTATTCTAAAATATACATAGGATTTTTTTCTGGCAAATTAATAAACAACTCTTTCCTTCTCTTCAAAAAATAAAAATAAAAAAATAAAACATATGTGGAAAAATGAGGCCCACTCCTGTAACACATACAAGACAGACCTTACTCTTATAAGAATTGCCCTGAAACTAAAGTTGCAAGCCAGCCTTGATCCAACTTCACTTCTGATAAAAGTTCCCAACCTCTTACCCTAGCTCCATGAGAGATGACATGATGTGCCTTCTCTCAGAATAAAGTACTTATTTAACTCCAGTCTCTAGAGTTCTTTCAAAGACAATGTTCAGAGCCAGACATGGTGTTGTACACCTGTAGTCCCAGCTACTAGGGAGGCTGAGGCAGAAGGATCATGTGAGCCCAGGAGTTCAAATCTAGCCTGGGCAACATAGTGAGACCACATCTCCAAAAAGACAGACAGACAAAAAATGTTTAGTATACAACCAAAAAGGAAAAAAAATTCAGGCGCGCGTGCATATACACATACACACACACACACACACACACACGCACGCACTCGGTCCCTGGGTTATGGATGAGATACATTCCCGAGAACATCTTTAGGTTGGATTTGTATGTAACTCAGATCCCTGATGAGTAGCACATATAAGGTAGTAAAAATAACAATATAATACTGGCTCATATGCGGTAGTAATAATACAGTGCAGTACTGTAATAATAATAAAAATAATAGTAATAATACCCCCCTGTACTATAATAATAATTTACAGAAACTATTGTGCTTTTTTTTTTAACTCAAACGTACAGAACATAAAAACAAACTCATACAAAAAGTTTAGATAGGAGATGGGAGAAATTTCAAAAAAGAATATTAAAGGTTAACACTCAACTAATGTTGCATCGGTGCCCTGCTTACTGGCAGGGGCAGTTTGAGGCAAGAGGTCGGCTAAGATTAATCGGAAGATGATGGAGACGGTGCCCGAGAGGATGCAGTTGGTGCGGGACAATCAGGATTTGATTCTGTTGATGAAGGAAGGGAGCTTACCACTGGAGTCATTCTTAAAAAGGATATCTAGGGTTCTTTGCACACCTTTTTTTTCCTCCGTAAGTGGCCTTGTAGCAGCTGATGTTCTCACTAACTGCACAGTAAACCTTTGTAAACCACTCAATGTTAGACTCTTGCTTCTCGAGCTTGGCACACTCTGCTTCAGCGAGATGAAAGGCTTCAGCTAATTCTTTTGTCATAAACTTTCTTGGCTCTGGATCTTCTGATTCTTCTTGTTTCATCAGCTGCTTCTCTATCTATAAGACTAGCCGCTAGCGCAAAGATGCAGCACCAATGAACCACTTATGCCATTAGTTCGTTTACATGCACAGAAGAAACTAGTTCCTGAATTATTAATTTAATTATAAATTATCCTTATGAGGAGGTTTGGGAGCCCGTTTATAGGTACAGAACACCGTAAGTCAGGTTGTCTAACCCGGGGACTGCCTGTATAAGCAGGAAAATGTGATCCCTAATCAGGAGGAAAAAATAATCAGTACAAGTTGATTGAGAGATTACCCTGATGCATCATTGCACAAGGATTTAAAAATAACCTTTATAGTAATGTTAATAAAACTAGAGGAAAAAAATGGAAGAGAAGATGGATGACCTTATCAGAAAAATGGGATATCTAAAGAATTAAATGTACATTCTAGCTCTAAAATAATAAAACATCTGACATTAAAAATTTATTGGATGAGCTTAGCCTACTGGAGGTAACAGAAAAAAGATGAATGGCCTCCAAGGCAGGTCATTAGAAATGATCCAAATTGAAGCACAGACAGGGAAAAAAGGAGAAAGAGAGAAATTTCCTAGAATGAAATGGTCTAATATATGTGTTATTGAGTGCTGGAAGGAGAGAAGAGAGAGACTGGAGTACAACGGCTACATGAAGAGATGATGGCAAAGAATTTTCTCAAATTAATGAAAAACATCAACTGACAGATTCAGAGCTAGCAAGCCTGAGGCAAGATCATCACAAAGAAAGCCATACCTAGGAATATCATAATCAAATTGCTGAAAACCAAAAATAAAGAGAAAAATCTTAAAAGCAGCCCAAGAAAACAGACACACAATGCCTTCAGAAGTACAACAATAAGAAGGATGGCAAACTTGTCAGCAGAAAAAATGGAGGATAATGGAAAGACATCTTTAAGGTGTTGAAAGAATAAAACTTAAGAGTTCTATACACAGACCGGGCACGGTGGCTCACGTCTGCAATCCTAGCACTCTGGGAGGCCGAGGCGGGCGGATCGTTCGAGCTCAGGAGTTGGAAACCAGCCTGAGCAGGAGCGAGATCCCGTCTCTACTAAAAATAGAAAAATTAGCCTGGTGTTGTGGTGGTGCCTGTAGTTCCAGCTACTCAGGAGGCTGAGGCAGGAGGATCGCTTGAACCCCGGAGTTAGAGGTTGCAGTGAGCTACAATGACACCACTGCACTCTACCCTGGGCAACAGAGCGAGACTCTGTCTCAAAAAAAATTAAATAAATAAAATAAAAATGTTTTAAAAAGAGTTCTATACACAAAGAAGATATCCTTCAGAAATTAAGGCAAAATAAAGACATTCCAGACTAATGAAAGCTAAGATAATTTATGACCTGCAGACCTACACTACTAGAAATACTAAGGGAAGTAGTTATTCAGGCTGAGG